GCCCAGTCATAAATTCACACTTTTTAACCCTATTTTTGACCCAAATTTGGGGTTTCTCAGCAGCCCCAGCACTCGAAGAGCCCCTGGCACACGAAGGGAAGTCGGTTCCTCCTCCAGGCAGAGTTTTCCTCCCGATTTCCAGCACCCAGCAGGTCCAGGAAAAAGGATTTTTGTCCTTTTAGGGCCCGAAAAAGGATTTTTGTCCTTTTAGGGCCCAACCTACCTGTGGGGACAGAGGCTGCTGTGAGGTTCCGCTTCAGCATCTCGTACACGGGGCTGGGGAGAGGGGACAGAACCCAAATCACCTCATGAGCAGGGAAAAATCCCCTTTATTCACCACAGAAACCCCAAAAAACACAGGGAGTTTGTTCCTAAATGGATCCCAGAAACCACGAAATCACAGCTCCTAAAAGAACCCCATAAATCACAAAATTACAGTCATAAAAAAATCCCAAAAAGCCAGGAAATCACAAGGGGTTTGTTCCTAAAAGACCCCCAAAGAGCACAAAATCACGGGGTGGTTTTTTTTTCAGGACATTTTCAGGATTTTTTGGGGGATTTTTTTCTTTTTTTTAAAGTTTTTTTCGGGGGGGATCTTTTTCGGGATTTTTTCAGCATTTTTTTCAGATTTTTTGGGGGATATTTTTGGGAATATTTTCCAGGATTATTTTTGGGCTTTCTCTCTCTTTTTTTATTTTATTATTTTTTGAGGGATCTTTTTTGAGACCTTTTTTGTGATTTTTTTCCGGATCTTCTTTGGAATTCTTTTCACGGGATTATATTTGGACATTCTTTGAAACATTTTTCGTGGCATTTTTTGGGATCGTTTCCGGGATCTTTTTGTGATTTTTTTGGGGATTTCTCTCTCTTTTTTTGGGGCAGAATTTTTTTGGGGGATCTTTTTCATTATTTTTTGGGGGATCTTTTTTGAGATCTTTTTTGTGATTTTTTTCAGGATCTTCTTTGGAATTTTTTTCATGATCTTTCTCGGGATTATTTTTGGGACATTTTGCGGGGCATTTTTCGGGATCTTTTCTGAGATTTTTTTGGTGACTTTTTTCAGGATTTCTCTTTTTTGGGGGGGAATTTTTTTTGGGATCTTTTTCATTATTTTTTTGGGGATTTTTTTGGTGACTTTTTTTCATGATCTTTCTTGGGATTTTTTTGGATTTTTTTTCTCTCTTTTTTCTTTAAAATTCTTTTTTTCTGGATTTTTTTCGGGATTTTTTCTACTATTTTTCCCACAATTTTTTCAGGATTTTCCCACAATATCTCTCACAATTTTTCCGGGATTTTTTCCAGAACTTTCCCCACTATTTTTCCATGATTTTCCCCCCTACCTGGGATCCTTGACAGAAAAACTCTGCAGCCCCAGCAGCTCTCCCAGCGCGTCTCCCCCGCAGTGCACGAGGTGCTGCTCCCTCTTGTCGTAGAGCTGCCTTGCCATGATGTACTGACCCAAAAAATGCATCACCTGAGGGGATAAAACAGACCTGAATTACCCCAAAATTCGCCCAAATCCTGAAAAATCCACCAGGATCAAGAGGATTCATCTGCTCGGAGTTGTAGGGGTGGGTTAGGGTTGATTTTGGGGGTTTTTTTTTGGATTTTTAAGGAGGAGAGGTGGAGTTGTTAATGTTGGAGGGAAGGGGAATTGAGGGGAAGGTGGGGGGGAGAAGTGTCCTAGTAAAAATGGCATTTTCCCAGTAAAAAATGGAATTTTCCCAGTTTAAAATGGCGGTTTCCAGTTTAAAATTATGTTTCCCCAGCTTAAAATGACATTATCCCAGTAAAAAACATAATTATCCCAGAAAGAGTGAGTATTATCCCAATTAAAATGGCGTTATCCCAGTAAAAATCAGAATGATCCCAGTAAAAATGGCATTATCCCAGTTAAAATGGAATTTTTGCAGTAAAAATGGAATTTTCACAGTAAAAAACAGAATTATCCCAATAAAAATGGCATTATCCCAGTAAAAATGGAATTTTCCCAATAAAAAACAAAAATATTCCAGTTAAAATGGTATTTTCCCAGATAAAATGGCATTAACCCCCTTAAAAACGACAATTATCCCAGTAAAAATCAAAATTATCCCAGTAAAAATCAAAATTATCCCAGTAAAAATCAAAATTATCCCAGTAAAAATCAAAATTATCCCAG